CAAAATTCTTAGCCCACTTTATCATACATTCTTTAACCTGTTCTTCCTCTGTTTCAAATTTGAACAAAAGTTTGTACATTTTAGCAGTTACATGTTCATCATCAGAACACAACTGTACTTCAAATTCTGTCTTACTTTGCTCCATACCGTAAGTCTTCTTATCCATTTTAAATCTTTCAGATAACTGTAAATGGGAAAACAATTGACAATTGTATCCTTCTGCTATGATTGCTCTCTTGATTTGATTTTAAATTCCCCTTGATGGTTTTCCAATAAGTCCCGGTACGTCAACCATTTACCTTTGTCTGCTAGTTCTCTTCTATGATATGCTTGAACTGAGAGCCATAAGGTGTTTTCAGGCACAAAATATCTATTCCATATTCTCAATATGGCATGTCTAATAAAATGTCAGGTTCAGCCCAAAGAACTCCAAGAGATAATGCAAATATAGTTCTGTTGCGTTTATTAGCTTCTACCACAAGACAGAATCTCCCAAGACTAAACCCTAGTTCCAAGGCCAGCCAGCCACAACACCGTGAATTCCTTAGGGAGGTGCCAGCCTCATCTTCTTGAACTTCCCACGCTCCTGTTGGGGGCTAAGAACATGCTTATCTCCCTGAGCATGGCCTTCATAAATCCATTCCATCACATAAAATGATTTTGAAAGTCCACGTTGATTTTAATTTTATTGTACCATAAATATCCATGCCATCCAAGCCCCAGGTCTCTTGTTTCTCAGCAGTATCCATTCTTTCATCCAAATCAAACAACAAGCAGTGAAATACAATTTCAAATTCAGTAAACCCAATCTTCCTCTTTCCTTTATATCTTGTAACACTTTATATTTAACTCATTTTTTTCCCCTTCCCATATAAATTTAGGTATGTCTTTTTGCTACTGTTTAAATGGTACATCCTTTGTCAAAGCAGGTATTGTCTGAAACAAAAACATCATTCTTGGCAAATTGACTAGAAGTGGCAGTTGACTAAGGCAGACAGAATAAGAAAGTGCCTACAAAATAACTGGGTGACAGGCGCCTAATCCCATCAAGGTCCCTCTGCTGGCTATCCAGGGAGAACCGTGATTTCAGCACCGCTGCTGCCATTTGCCTTAACCACACAATGGCTCTCTTCACAAATCAAACTTACCCAGTTTTCCATATATGGTCCTGAGACCCTGACAGCAAATCAGAACCTTAGAATTTCCCCCTCCAGAATTCAAAATCCCGATAAAAGGCCTTATTTTACTATTGTTCTTTGTTCCTCTTTCTTGTAAAGCTGGGACCCAACAGCTGTTGGGTAAACAGTTGATTCTTTCTGCTCAGTGTTGTGGTGAATTTGTGTTCTGAATTTTCTATGAATGAGAAGGCAAACTTCCTGCTTCAAAAGGGAGGAAAAAGAGGACCCGTGTAATTATAGACCAGCAGCTCGATGTTGATAGTGGGCAAAAGCCGGGAATAGACCATTAAGCAGCGAGTTGTGAACATTTAAGAAAAAGCACAGTGCTTGTAGGGACCCAGCAAGACCATCCCAGGCGACACCCCCCCCCATTTTCGACAGCGTGACCAGTTCGGTCATCTGTGAAAATGAGGTGGATGTACTTCACCTTGACTTATACTGTAAAATCCTAGCAGAGAAGATGTTAAAATGTGGGCTGGACTTTGCTCCCATTCACGGGATTCAGAGCTGGTTGAACAAATTGCACCCAGTGAGTGTACACCAGTGGCTCTTTTGTGTCAAGCTGAAAGAAGGTGCTGATTGGAACACCACAGAACTCCTTCTAGGCCCTGCACTCTTCAACCTGTTTATACGTGACTTGAGTGATGGGCTAAAATATTATTTTCAATTTTGCAGTCCACAGAAAGGGGAGATAAGAAACAGTAAGCTTCAAAATCCAGGAGAATCTTGACAGGGTAGGACAATGAGCAAAAAGCAGCAATAAGGATTTCAACAGAGTCCAATACAAAATCTTTTATTTGGACAGGAAAAATCAAAGGCGTATGGCTGGAAAAACCATAATAGGCAGTGGTTCTGGATATCTTGGTGGATCAAAATCTGAACATCAACCACAGTGTGATGCAGCGGTCAAAGGGGACTATGCAAACCTAGGCTGCATCAATATAAATTCAGTGTCAAAATCAAAAACAGCTGTTCTTCCTTTCCATTCTGTGTTAGTCAGACTGCACCTAGAATATAATACTGGATGCCAAATTTTAGGAAAGACTTCTGGAATATGTCCAGAGAGCAAGTAAAGTGATTAGGGGCCTGGAAGAACAAACATTTTGAAGAATGGTTGGTTAAGTTGGGAATCTTTAGCCTGTAGAAGAAAAGATTATGGGAGACATTGTAGTTGCCTCCAAGGATCTGAAAGGTTATTATGTAGAAGATAGGGTAGATTTGTTCAAGAAAATAAGACAAGAAACAATGGGTTTAATTGACAAGGAAGTCGATGTTGGTTGAACAGCAGGAAAAAGAATCTTAATAGCAAGAGCAACCATGGAATAGGCTGCTTCAGGAGGTAGCAGACTTTCTTTTGTTAGAAATGTTTAAAAAGAGGGTAGATGGTGATCTGTCAAGAATGCCTTGGCAGTAGATTCCTGCCCTAGTCTAGATTGTCTCTAAAGTCTCTTCCACCATTCCAGGATTCCAGAAATGCTCTCCTGCCTGACTCTTCTAATGGCATGCAATCTGGTGGGAACGGACTGGTTTTTTTCCTTCTTGTTACCTGTGCTCCTGAGTCAGGTGCTCCCTTTTTGACGTCCTCCCATGGGTGGGGCTGCCCTGATACTGCCTCTGTGCCTGGGGAGACCAGCTCAGGGCCATGACCGGGGAGCTTCAGACCGGAGGAGTGTTCAGCAAGGTTCCTGTGTGAGGGTCCACTGACCAGCCAGGAAGAAAAACCAAATTCTCTTGTCAAGAGAGGGTCCCTGGCAGGAGACCTGAAGCCAACTGCTCTCAGAAACCTGGCAGGAAGTCTGGGCTGTGGAGAGCAATCTTTCAGGTCAGGCCAGTTTCTTCTCTGGCTTGCTCTGGAGGTTGCCACACACAGCTAGCAGGGAGGGAGCCAGGCAGGTAGGACAGGTGAGCTTCCCACTCAGCACAGTTGTCCCAGAGCTGTGCTGTGGGCTGGCTGCTGGCAGGCATCTGAAGCTCACCCATATGCCTGAAGGAAGGCAGTACACCATGGACCTTGGAAGGTTGCAGTGACCTGCCAGGGCTACTGGTGCTGGGAAGAGGCCATGGAACAGCCCCCCCACCTGGTAAGTCAGCTCAGAGAGGGAGGGAGGGAGGAAAGGACTTGCTGATCACTGGAATGACTGCCATGGTGATGGGATGTGGTCAGTAGAGAAGACATCTTTGCGGAAATGGGTAGAAATGGGCACTAGAGAGGGAGGAAGAGTGGACTGGGGTCACCAGCAGGCATAGGACCAAGGTATCTTTCTATTCTCTGAGGCTGCTCAGAGGGATGAGTTGGTGTGTGGGGTGCCTCCTCCCCAGACCCATCCTCAGTGCTGGGCAGCACTGAAACTGGCGTTCTTGGGCAAATGCTGTGATCTTCCCCCGGGCTCCCTCCAAACCTTCCCTGGCCAGTGCTCTCACCGGCATTTCATGAGGGGGGCTGGAATAGTTTGAGGGCAACCTTTCTGTTCCGTGATTCTAGGACGGCTGCCTCTTCTCTGGAGATAGGCTTCTTGAGGGCATTTTGGCACCACCGACCCCCCCCCCCGCCAACCCCATTTCATTTTCATTTATCTGGATGGGGCTTGCTGCCAACCGCTCACCCTTTCAGGAAACTGAGGTGTTGAAGGGCAGCCCCTCAAAAGACCAAGAGCAGCAGGGATTGTCTCCCCCTCCTTCGCAATCTCCAGCCCAGGACCGCGATGCTCTTCTCTTGCTCTCTGCCTCCCATCCTCCCCACCTGGATAGGCGATTGTTCTTTCCCACCTCCTTTCTGGCATCCTTTCCAAGAGTTGGCGTTGCCAGTCCAGGATTCAAAGTGGCCTCTGCCCCCCAGCCCCCAGGCTGGGTCAACAGTGGCTGATTTTCTCTTCCTGGAGCTGATGGGCGTAGGCTGGGGCATGTGGGCCAAAGCACAGGCGCCTCGGCCCAGGGAACACTTGCTCCGCCGCTTGATGGACTTTAATGTGCATTATGCTTCGGTTGCTTTTTAGTTGGCATTAGGATCAGATTTAATCCTAATTATATGGGCTGACTTAATTTATGATAAAAAATAACCTGGGAAATAACTTCCAGAGGCATAACAAATAAATCCATGTTGTGAGACTGAAGGGAGGGGGCTGCGGTGCCAAAGGCCTTGCCACCTTCTAGATCCAGTGGGTTCTCTCCTTTGGGAAAGAGTGGTGCGGGGCCGGGAAGCAGAGCTCAGGATGTGCTTTGCTGCACAGCTGCACAGGCCCAGGACCACCTTTGCTCGTGGTTTCGGTGAGGCTTCTGCTGATGCTCACACAAATGGAGCCTGCACAGCTCTTGACGGAGAGAAGTCTGACTGGGGTGGGCGCATTTGCCAGAGGTCTCTGAGCCAGTGTCAGCCCCCCCGCCCCCCGCCAGGGCTTCTGACTGAAAGGAATGGCCATGGCTCCGGCACCCAAGCAAAGGATTGCGCTGGACTGTGTGGCCCACAGGAGCATCTGCTGTCAAACTCTCCTGTCCTTCTGGAGCTCCCTGGGCTCCTTTTGGGCCCTAGTGGCGGGGGATTCAGGGGTTGGGGGCTCCCAACTGGTTCAGGGCAGCATCTCTGGGATGGTTAAGGGTCCTCCTTGACGCCTGTCGATCTCCCAGCCACAACAGCTGGGGGTGGGGGGGAAGGGAAGGGAAGGGAAACAAAGCAGTTTCATCTAATAAGACTGCAAGTGAATCAGAGGCCGGGAATCTGATACTTGGTGGTGACATAATGGCCCAGCAGCATTCCGGATGTCCCAGGAGGAAGTTGCTGCCTGCAACTGGGGCAGGGTGACTCAAAGGGGACTGAGAGCCAGTGCCTTTTGGACTGGTTGGGGTACAGTCAGAGGCCCCAGAGGTCCAGCCCAAGGGCCTAGGCTAGCTGGAAGGAGACACATGGAGGGAGACTCCTCTGCCTGTGCGGCTCCAGCAAGCCACCCTGGGAGCACACACCCTGCTCCCAAGGAGGTGAGGGCTCAGTCCTGGCCTTCTGGGAGCAGAAACAGCCAGAAGGAAGTGCCTTGCCTGGTGGTAAAAATGGGGCACAGTCTCTGGCAAGGATAGAGCTGAATTAGGTAGGCAGCTGGAGACAGGGTTTCCAAAAAGGAGCACACCCAGTTCTGCCGAAGAGCAGCTCAGGAGGCGTTCCTGGGTGTCTGTGGAGGCCCTCCCTCCAGCACAGGGAGCTTTTGGTTGTGAAGGGCAAACTTGCTGGAGGGAAAAGCGAGGGCTTAGGACCACCACGCCTGTTCGGATGCACCCAGACTTTGACCCTTGGACCCCTTCTCCAACCTCAGTCTTCTTTACCCACAGGAAGGTCCATTGTCTCCTCATGAGGCCCTGAGCCCTGTTCTCTATGCCTTCCCACCTGCTGTCTCTCAAGTGGCCCCATCTGGGGAGACCATTCAAGGTGCCACCCTCAGATCTTGTGGTACAGACACCAGACCGGGCCCCCTGCCCTGCATAGCTTGTGCAAGTCCAAGTGGTAAGACCCCTGCTGGAACGTCCTAATGCAAGGGGGGATGCATACAGCGACGGAGGAGTTACACTGGAGGGTCTGGTCCAGCCTCTTGAAATATGGGAAGATCCCTAAGCAGGGGACCTGGGAATGGCAGCAGTGCGGGGTGGGGGGCTGAAAGAAACAGAAGCAACCATCTGGAAAGCAACTGGCTGGCTCTTCCTTGGAGCCCCAGAGCCCCTTCTGGCTCTGCTCTGTTGTGCAAGATGGCAGTTTTAGCAATCCAGGCCTCTGGTTACGGAGGGGAAGGATGGAAGAAAGCTGAATTAAGCTTGCAAGTCCAACTCTTGCCTGCTTCCTCTCTCCTTCAGCTCCAGCCTGTTGGGGGCTTCGCAGAAGAGAAGCCTCTTGTTGCTCTGCCTCCCCATCCTCAGTAGTTTGCTTCCTACCCAAAAGAGCTCCCCCACAGTAGGGACCCAGGCTTCTCCCCTCTCTGTGCCAAACCTCTCCAAAGGAACTAGCCCAGCTCTCTTCCTTTCCCCACCCACAGCTTCCTCCACCCCCACTTTCAAGGCATCCTGGGGGATGGGCCCGAAGAGGGTGGCCCTCATCGCCTGTCTTCTCATCCTCATCGTGTTGCTGATTGCCCTCATCCTGCTCTGTGAGTCCTTCCCTTTTCTCGTGGTGGCCTGCAGCTTATGGTGGGGCAGGAATGACTCCATGGTTCTTCCCACCCTGCTGATAGCAGAGAGGAGGCTCATTCCAAAGATCTAGGTCTACTTTTGGGACAAGTGAGATGGGCGGTGACAAAATAAATTATCAGCAGATTCCATGAAGGAGGGGAGTAGCCTAGTCCTGCCTGAGGCATGAAGTCTGGCTGGGTGGCTTTGGGCCAGTCCCTCTCTCTCAGCCCAACTCACCTCACAGGGTTGTTGTTGTGGGGAAAACAGGAGGAGTAAGGAGAATTAGGGAGCTTGCTGCCTTGAGTTATTTATAAAAATAATAAAAGTGGAATGAAAAAAAATTAAAATATCTAAAAAAGGAGGGGGGGAATATTTGCAACTTTTGGATGAATGGCATGCGGCGGGGAGGCCCTCCCTCTGCAGAGCTGGAATGCTCTGCCTCAGAGGACGCGCTCCCTGCTCTGGCTGCGGTCAGGGACAGATAATGGCCTAGTTGCCAACAGAATGGAGGGCTGTCCCCAGCAGAGCATCTCTGTAGTATCTGAAAGCACATGGCTCTCCCCAGACATGCCTAGTGCCTGCGTGAGTGAGCACACGGGGGCTCACCTCACTTTTCTCTTGCCTTCTGTTTCAGGACAGGAGACACAGGCTAAAGCCATGGGAGGGAGTGTCAGTTTCACCCCAGGGTGACTGTCTTTTTGCAGTAACGTTGCAGCCTCATAAGATGGTGACATCCTCTCCCTCCCCCATTTATGTTCAAAGCTGCCCAGACTGGCCCGTGACTCTGTCTCCATTGTAGGCAACCTTACAGCATATCCCGCTACCCCTGAATCTCTCCCTTAGGCCATAGAAGAACAGAGCCCCCCGCCCCACTTCTTGTGAGTCAAACACTGGGGAGGGACTCTCCGAGCAGGGAGAGGTCCAGCTTCTTCTCCTTCTCAGAGGTTCACAGATTGTCCTCTGGAACGGAGACAGGCAGCAATTCCTGGACAAGGAAAGAGCCTATTCTGATGCAGATAAGTGAGTTGGTGTAAATAGGTGCCCCACATTTCCAAGTGGTGACTCTGCAGGGCCTCGATGAGACAACCAGGTTGTGACCTGGTTTCATAGTTCTTCCTATTTCATGGAAGTTCACTCAGGGCTCATATTGCTCATAGGACATGCCAGAAATGTTTCCTGGAAAATGTCCATCTTCCTTTCTGTATTGTTGACTTTGGAATCAATACAGAGGAGGAGAAAGAGATGGAGGGAGACCAGCTGCATGCCAGAACTCTGTTTGTCTCCCTCTCTTCCTCTTTCCATACATGTCCCGTTCAGACAACTGCTCCTAATAAGGCCATCTATTTGTTGCTCTCCTCCGATAAGCAGCATCTGGATTTGCAATGGATTTTGCACATGCAGGAAGACCCAGTGCATTCCCCAGGTTCACCATGCAGCTTCTCCCCCATTCACATGGTGCGATATAGCCATATGAATGGGGAAAGGGCAGTGGCCAGGTCATGCCTCCCCAGGGGAGTACTAATCATCAGGCCCAGATTCTGCAAAGTCATGAAATTAAGACTAGGCCTCCTGAATCTTTTGAAGGCAGGATTTCAGGCCTGGATCTCTGAATGGCTGGGGGTGGAATGGGGCGGGGAGAGGCTGGAGCCAGTAGCCCTGGGAGTGGAGATGACCGCAAGAGCCCAAGCCCAAAGTCTGTTAAGGATGCCAGAGTTGGCCGTGGCCACGAAGGCCCCTGCGTCCAAACCCTGCTCTGTGTCCGAAGCATCCCAGCTGACCAGTCTCCACCTGCGTGTGCCCGGCCAAGTGAAGCTGCCCCCTCTGGGTCACGCTGTGCCTACTGTTGGGAAGCTGTTTAAGACGTTCAGTTAGACTTTGCCTTTCGGTAACTTAAATCAGCTGTTCTATGGCCTGCACTCTGGGATTTCAGAGGACAGGCTCTTTGGGGCGATGCACTTGAAGAGGGCAATCATATTTCCCCTTGGACTTCTCTCCTCAGAGCTAAACTGTCCCAAAACCTTCTGCCTCTTGTCATAGGACTTAGTGTCTAGCCCCATGAGCCTCCTTGTTGCCCTTCTCTGAAGCTGCCCAGAAGTACGATGCCCAGAGCTGGCCAACACAGAATAAATTGAAACGATTCATTGTGTGCTTTGGAAGCTGCAACTAATGCCGAGACCACCTCTGTGCTGGAAGCCTGGCTCTTTCTGCTTCTTGGCCTCTGAGATGTGTTCGGGATGCGCCCGGGATGGGACCTATCTCGGTTTGGAAACTGGCAAATGCTACTAATAGAAGTTTACGATGCCCCACAAACGTTGGGGCAGAAGCACAGCTGACTCTCTTTCTCACCTCCCCTTCCTCTCCCGCTGCACAATTACCACAGAAAGCTGGTGCCACTCGCAGCGAGGTGGCAGAGGGAGCAGCCCTGGCTCGGCCCTCTTTTTTGCGCCCTCCTTTCCCGTGAGAGAAAGGGGAAGGAGGCGAGAAAGAGGAGCAGCCGGTCTTCTTGGCAGGTGTGGCGAGACAAGGGGAGGCCTTCCATGTCCTCCTTCCTTTTCAGTTGCTGGTCCTGCTGCACAAGCTGGTTCTAATAGCGTGGATATCTCTGAACAGATGAAGAATAAAGGCACCATCGCATTTCTGGGCCACAGAGCACTTTCCCCTGAATCAGGGGGTTTCTGCTAGCATCCTTTACACCACCACATTTTATTAAAAGGCATAAGCTTTCATGAGCTGCAGCTCACTTCACCTGAAGCATGGATGAAATTTGGTGGTCAGAAAGGTGCTGCCAGGCTCCATCTGATTTTTGGCTATCATGGTCTACCACAGATATCCTTCTAGAACTTTCCCCCAAGAGACTCATCTCTGGTGATGTCTGCAAGTCACAATGTTGAGGAATGGTCTGTGTGTGTAAATGCTGCTTCCAATTCTGTGGACGTTTCTCTGGAGGAACCACTCCTACCACCAACTGCCCAGTGACAACAGGAACTGGGAGCCTGTTCAGTTGGCAGTGCCAATGCTGCAGGGGTGCATTTGCAAGCGCCTTGTGCCAGACAATCCTCCTTGCAGGCTAGAAAGGAGACAGTTAATCCAAAGAATGAGAAGCCCAAGTCTTGATTAGAAGGAAAGCTGAGGAGACACGCAAGAATTCCAACGAGTCCCTTGTTTGTTTCTCCCACCTTCTAGGGAAGGGTCAGGAGGCTTGCCTCTTCTGCGGGGGCCGTCTGCATTGGCTCCCTCTTTGATAACCGTCAGACCTTTTCTCAATGTGAGAAGCAATTCTCCCACCTTGAAACTCTCCTAAACCCCAGTTCATTCACTGCTGTCTCTCCTGTCCCGCTCCCAGTCTTGTTCTGGCGGTCCAGCACCGGCATTGTGTACAAGCAGCCGGTGGAGAGCTGCAGTGGCCACGCTGTGCGGTGTGACGGGGTTCCCGACTGTTCTCAGCGGAGCGATGAACTAGGCTGTGGTAAAGCATCCGGGGCTGGAGAGCCGGAGGGACACGTGGGTGGAAGGTCTTCGGGAGGAGCTTGAGTGAGAAGACTGAGCTGGGGCTGGGGGACTCCCTCTAGAGGGTACCTGCCCCAGGAATACCCACACGGTGTCCCTTCCGTCCCTCTTCTTTCTCTCCTGTTCTGCAGTGCGCTTTGGGTGGAACCAGTCCTTGCTCCATGTCTACTCGGGAGCAGAGAGGGAGTGGCTGCCTGTCTGCAGTCACACCTGGACCGAGGCCTTCTCCCGAAAGACCTGTCAGCAGCTTGGATTCCTAAAGTAATTCTGGGGCTCGAAAGGTGGGGAGGGAGTCCGCGGAAGGAAGGGACTAGAGAAAAGCCTGTCTCCCATTTTCTCTCAGCCTCTCGCTTTGGTTTGCTGGTTCTGTTAACACGCAGAGTCCCCCGGCGGCAACTTTACAAGCAGTGGAAGGACCTGTTTGTGGACTGCACCCCTTCAGATGAGTGTGGGGGAGGGGGAGCCCTTGTGATGAAGGAAAGAGAGGGGGCTGTTCAGGAACCGAGAGCTGCGCAAGGGACACTCTATGGCACAGATCATGTTGGGTCTGCAGCCAGTGCCAACCCCTGGTTGGGCCGAGCTGCACGGCGGCCTGGGGAGCTTCTCCACATTTGTGTGTACGTAAAAGTGCGGCTGCTCTTCCGTGCTCCAACACAGGGGGCCTCTTCCCAAGGCCTCTTCTTGCCCGTGACTCTCTTCTGCCTCCCCAGTGCTTCTGACACAGAATATGTCCCTCTGTCCTTCTCTGGGAAAAGTCTGGTGGCTGGAGGGATGCGAAAAACCATTCAGCAGAGTCTCAACAGGTAACGGCTGCCCGGGGGTGAGGGCAGTGGTTTAGAAGGGAGTCCCCTCTTTTATGACCCCTGCCTAGTGCTGGCAGACCCATTTCATCGGGGGCAGATGAGGCTCAATGGCCAAGGAGGACTTGCTCTACCCAGGAAATGCCACAGGCACCAGGGCGGAGTGATCCTTTGCTCTGTGCCCCTAACCCTCAGGTGTCATAGAGGAGTCACAGAAGTAACAGGATATGATAATGTTTGCAGTTGGTTTAATAAGTAGCACATAAATGCATACGCACAAACACATATGAAATTCTAGTCTGAATTTTTCCAACTGAGAAACAAAACCCCCTAGTTTGTCTTTCACTGGATTAGAAGTTCATTGTTTGTCCAGAAATTGCTTATGAAATGAAGTTGTGGATTTTCCAAGATAGTTTGCCATGTGCTGCCTGGGACTGGAGCTATGCCCTATTATTACTGAGGACATGAGTTTCCTTTAAGGAACAAGATTTCCCTACATCAATGGAGCAGTGAAAAATTAGAACATCCACACCTTGCGAAGTGTGAATCTCCAGACCGAGTGTAACAGTTAGTGCTTACTCTCAGGTCGTGCCGTGGTGGAATGTACTTGGTCCTCCTGTTCGGAATGAGCACCAGAGGTACCTTCCTGCCAGAATCCAAATTCTGCTGTCGTTTGCCACTTGGCTTTGCGGCACCTCCCCCCACGAAGCAAATCTCTCGTCTCCAGTCCTCTGCCCTGGCTTGACTTTCTATAGGCTGGCAGATGTCAAGTAACCTCTGTGAAGGCAGGGGCCGGAGCACTGTGTTTTCAGACCCCCTTTCATGGAGGGTTTGGGGCCATTCAAGTCCTCAGGTTCATCTGTGGGGAAGTGAATGTGAAGGGACTCACCTGTCCCTCGTTGCTCTCTGCAGCTTTGCCTCCTGCTGGGCCCTCGAGAGAACTTGTCTTTCTCCCGGCCAGGCAGACCGACTTGGGGGTTCTGCTCCTCCAAGACACATGCACGACCCTGTTGGCCACAGGCTCTGGGTTTCTCACCTAACATCTGGTTTGTTGATCTCCACTGCAGCTCCCAGTGCAGCTCCAGAAAGTATGTTTCTCTCCGATGCACAAGTAAGGAGATGGGTGGAGATGGGGGGTGGACAGGGAGAGACTGGGTCTGACTCCATGAGGCTTTTTTATTATTGCGCCATTCCTGAGGTGGAGAGAATTGCCCTAGGGCAGAACTAGTGTTCAATTATCCTAGCACTTCTTCTCCTTCTTTCATAAGCTCCTATCTAAAGACACCAAAGCAGCATGCAAAACAATGCCACCAAATGCTTTTGCATTCCTAACATACAAGATAAATAAACAGAATACTGTCTTAACACTTTGAAAAGTAATAAAAGTAATAAAAATGATGGAGCAGAGCCAGTCAGAGGGGGGAGAGAACCCCTGAGTTCCTTCTTGAAAACCCAGGAGCCACGTATGCACATTGCATGGGTTCTGCACTGGGGGGGGGGCGGGGGGGGAAAGGTAAGGTAAAGATGTGGCTAATAAAAGAGAGCCTTGTGACAGATCTCCAGGTGGGTTGATGTGGTGCATGTGCATGGAAGGGAATGGGGAAATGGCTTTTCTGTGTTCCTACAGCTGAGGTTCTTGGATGTTTCTCCTTGCAGACTGTGGGCAACGGATATCCGGCCGCATCGTGGGTGGCACCGAAGCATCTGCCAGTAAATGGCCTTGGCAAGTGAGCCTCCAGTATGGGTCCGCTCACATCTGTGGTGGCACTATCATTGACCCCCAGTGGGTGCTGACCGCAGCCCACTGCTTCTTCATGTGAGGCCAACCTCCAGATTGACTTGGGAGGGCAGCGGGAGGCGCAGGATGTGCTGTTAGGGAAAAGGAGGCCCATCATCAGGACTTCTGCCAGAAGAAGGTGCCTGAAGGGCCGTCTTGCTGCAGAGAAGCAGAGCTTCCCATCTGGTTGCCTGTCCAACCTTTTCCTGACACCCAGCAAAGAAATGTACCGCATGATGATTTTCTTGAGCTGCTCCTACCATGGTTCATGCTAAGAATTCACCTGCTGTAAGGATGCTATCCCCGTGCCACCCCCCCCCCCCCACCA